CAAATGTACAGGAACTTCCTCCTTATGCTCATCATTTTCCGGCGGCATTTCCACCATACACCCACTTACACTTCCTCCCACTCCCCAATAGTCATCACCATTTCTCCTCCAAACTCCTCCCCCAAACCCCTCGTGATCAACGCATTTCTCGCCACCTATACTGACGACATTCACTTGTTTTCCCCTGTTTTCCTCATCCACTGCCTCTAGGGGGCGCACACCCAAGTTTTCCTCAACCCTTCTATCATCCCCGGTGGTATCATTTCTCTGCAATTCTCCCCAATTAGACCCCTCATCTTTCCATCGACCATTTTCTCCGCCGGAATTTCTCATATTTTCGTGTTCTCTTCCAGTTAGGGCCCCAGCCATCATCCTCATCTTGGACTTACCCCGGTTGTAGTACGTCTTTTGCTTCCCCTTAATTCTGTTCTCCATTACTCTGCTATCAGCTCTTTCAACCCTCAAAAAAGCTCCCCGTTTCGACTCCCTATCCTCGGCCCCAATTCCTCCCGGACGATTTCCATCCCCTAATACCCGCCTCCGAGGCACATAAATCTCCCTTTTACCCTCAATTCTTCGCTCTCCATTTTTGCTCCTCTGTCCATCAAACTCTTCCTTCTTCGGCTTTTCCGGTCGTTGTTGATTCTGGGATGATGATGTTGTTGTTGTTTTCCCTTGTTGATGCTCTTTCTTTTCCTGTTCTTGCTTTTGCTGCTGCTGCTGCTGAAGCCATCGCTCTTGGAGCTGGGTCAGGGAGACGTAGTTAGAAGGCAATGATGGGTACTTTTTCCTCCTGATCTCCTCTTCTTCTTCAGTGGTGGAGGCAATGGACCTGGTGGCGGCACCGACTACCTCCATCTGGGAATTCTCAATCATCCAAAAATCGCACAAACAACACAAAGAACTCCATGGCTGCCGGCGACGAATCCAGTATATTTAATTCAATATCCTTTGAACTGAGTAGAAAAACAAACATTGATTTGTTGCAGAAGAGCCCTAGTAATACGGTAGAACTACTACGTACCTCAGCTGGGATATTGCTCTGAGTTGAGAGGAAAAAGAGGAAAAGCGAAAACAGCAATAAAGATGACAATCAACAGCAAAAAGACGGTTTTCCTTTGGAAATAAACGACCCGAGTTGACTCGAATTCCAGCGATGACTATGCGAGTTCTCAAGAGTTGGGCTTGAGAGAACTCACAATTAAATTTTGGGTTCTCAGGACTTTTGGGTTCAATTAAACTTTTGGGTTGGCCAATTCAACTTTTGGGTTCAATGTAGTTTCTCTACACTGAAAATCAAGCGTGCCTCTAATAAAAGCCTTTGAATTGCGATTTTTTGCCGGAAAATTTTTATATTTTTGGTGAACATATTTTTCGATCATATTTTTATCTTACATATAATAAATCATCGTTACAATACATTTTTAACTAAAACTCTTAAAAATAGCAATCCAAACGAGAGTGTTTTTGGAACTTCCAATATGGAGCTGGAACTGCAATAAAACTTAAGTAAATTCACCTTCTGCATTTGTTGGTGTTTAATGCTGATCCTTTCCACTTTCTGCAATTGTTGGTGTTTGTGATTGGCCCCTTGGCAATGCTTGCAACAGCTAACTCGTCAGGTATAAGGTCCAACGGACATTTTCTGATTGTACATCCTTCGCAATGATACATTGATCAACCAACTCATCCCTGTAATACCCTTCTTGGACTGTTTAATACACCCTCTAAAATTAGTTCTTTGACTCATCAAGTAGCTTCACCAATTTTTTTTTTTGGGTAGAAACCACCTTTTTTTTTAGCAGGCAACTTATGGTAGAAAGCAACGTCAAGACAGATTGAATTCCATCTCTAAAAAATGGTAATAATATAACAGAGAATTTTAGGATGACTTTTTAATGTATCCAGATAGGTAGATCAAGTGCGAAGCGCTTATTGACAAAAAAAAAAAAAGGAACATTAGTTAGGGGTATTACAAGAAGAATGCGAAGTTGAACCTGCAATATTCTCTCTTTGGTTTACATCCTCTGAGGCACTAACCGAATTGCACTATTCAAGAATTGCATTTACATGCATGTTAAGAAAGGTAATTCAGCTTGATCTACTACAATACTGCAATGACCTTGTTAACATTTCTGATTTCTCTAGCACTGTCAATAGCACCTTTTTTTGTTTCCATTTAATTTCTCTATCAGATGTATAAATGTTTCTTCATTTTACCAATCCGGCCTAACTGGGTACGTTGAATCTATTTCTTGATTGTAAGAGAAAATTGCCTGTAATATTCTTAAAATGCTAAACTGGCATTGGTTATCAGAGCGAGGCTCACTTCAGATTGGCCTTCTGATCAGCGCTCTTAGTCACGTTCCACGCGTAGCTCTTGTTTGCAATGTTCAATCATTTTTCCTCCAATCGAATGCATGCAGTAGAATCCCAACCCCATTGCCATTAGCCCTGCCCATTTTCCATCATCCTTCCCAAGGTAAAGCCATTACAGGAGTTACAGAAATGGCTGCGTCAATGGCTTCATCCCACAGTCCAAATTTTGTTTCTACAACGAGGTTTGCAAAACATGTCAATTTCTTTCTAAGTCCACATGCAATTCAGACTTAAAAAGTGATAATCTCACAAAAATTAAACAACAGTTGCTGTAGAAACAAACTATGTGCGCTGTGGCAGGATGATTTGGATTAACCTTGTATGCATTAACAGCGTATAAATTAGTACTTTTGAATGTATATTATTTAAATTTAAATTTCGTTTTCTTATATACGTATAAGGGTGCTAAATGATACATTGTTCAATGCACACAAAATTAATCCATATAATTTTGTACAAATTACGTATAACCTTTCCATGGTTTTGCATAATACCAAACTGACTCCCCTAGGATTTAAAAATAGCCGCATAATCCCCTTATAATGTAAGTGAAAAATGGACGGAATGCATAATCAGCTACGAGCAATTAGACCACGCACACTCTAAAGGTGTTGCATCTGATTAAATCATAATAACCACTTAATTCCCCTATAATTTGCATAAATATCCATTTTACCTCCTGTGATTTTTACAATTATCTACGTAATCCCCTTATGATTTTGTAGAAGGTGCTAGGTCAAGATTTGATTAATCATTTAAGTAAGAGCACTATTGGTATTTCAACTAATAACGTTACATAGACCATTTCATTAAATTTCCAGTTTACATGAAACCATAGAAAGGTGAAGTGGATATTTTGAAACATTATGAGGGTTTTATGACAACAAATGAAACTACAGGGGGTTATTAGTACTTTACCCCTATAATTTACCTTCAAAAATGAATTTTTGGGGGATAATAAAAGGTGAACGCTACAGGTCAAAATCCTATTTACAATCCAATTTGTGTTAAAATTATAGAATTACCCCTTTCAAGTGTAAACTGCATTAGGCCCAGAGAAAATCAAACATTATACCCAAAAATTAGCGTGTGAATAAGATCCAGGCCGTCGTAACATTAACGCCAGATATTTGAGAAGGATAAAATTGTAAACTTGGAAGGCCCGCTCAAAACAAGTCACTGCTGGCCGATAGGTGTACACCATGCACGGCATCCAACAGCACACGCGTTACGGTAACAAAGGAGCTTTTCCTTCGGTGCGATGAGACAAAAGGCCACCGCTGGACAATTGGTAACAGCCTCCTCAACGCTTTTTCTCGGCCTCTTTTTATCTCATCACATCACTTGTGCGTGTCAAAACAAATATTTATTGTTGTGTAAACAAACTGGTGAACTTGTGACAGATAGACAGAAACCGGTAGCCATCTTCAAGACCCAAAAAGCAGGGCAGTGAAAAAGAACAAGAAAATTTGGAACATGAGATTAGCTCATCCAAGATTTTAAGGCTTGTTTGGTTTGTGAGATCGTGAAGAATTGGGTTTACAGAGTTTCTGTTATCCACATTTAGTTGATTTTTCTTTTTTGGTGCAAGTTATTATGAAATTAATAAAATGATAAATGTGGATGTTCATTCATCTTCTCAAAATATACATTGGAATATTCATCCCCCCTACAAGATTCTGATACTGACATATTAAGGCTTACGGTACTTATGTCTTTGGAATATCCAAACATTCCCTCCCTCCCTCGTATTATTGCCAAACAAGCGATGAAAACCATTCTTGGCAGGGATGCTAATCCAACATAATTTCTTTTGTGAAACAAACGAGCCATTAGTGGATAAGTGGACTAAACAGCAATGTCCTATCCCATCCACAACCTGTATTAATTTTTTTTTTTTTTTCGACACAGGGGTGTCTGGGTCAATTCTTACGGGACCTGACTAATCTCCTGCGATCCGGATCCGGCGCCCCAATCCGATCCGAATACGTTAAGTGCACGGAAGAATCCAGCGGAGCGACAACCTGTATTAATTGGTCGATGAATTTGTTAGCTAAGTTCGTGTATGGCTTCTTGCAAGGTTTGAATGTGTAGAACCAAATTTACCATCGATCCACCACAAAAGGACAAGAAGAAGGAAAAAAATACTAGTTATCATGGTACATGAACAATATACCTACAGTCACCCTTCCCCTCTCCATCTTCTCTCTTGGAGTTTTTGAATGTGTAACCGATGCAGCCTCTTAAGTGTAAGCATGCATGTAAGTTTAAACCTCCTCGAAATCCCACATGTCCCTATCTCTAAGTATTCTCAAACACGTACCCACCGTACACTTCCAAGTGTCTCCTAATACTTTATGTTGCCCAATTCTCATTGGTTACCTTCACTCTTAAATCAAGCTCCTCTCTCCTCCACTCACGTCCAAGTTTCCACCCAGACCCACTTCACTGCTTTCACCGAGAGCAGCAGCACAGCACTAGGTCATCCTCCTCTTCCCCTTCTCTCCTCCCTTTCTCTTCTCATCTTGAAATTTTGGGTCAAAGTCAGATTCAACATCAAAATTTTTGTCAAGATGATGCAAACCCTGAACCCTTATAACACAGGAAAAACTGCCGAGATAATGGCCAGGTATAGGCCTATTGCTCCAAAGCCTGAATCCTCAGCAGCCACCAATAATGGGGCAGATAGCAATTCTTCCTTCCCTGAGGGCATCAGGAGGTCTCCTTACCTGATGAATGTTTGGGCTCATTTGCAGGCGAGGCCTACAAGGACAAGAAAGAGAGGGAGAACTGCCTTTGCACCACCTTTCATGAAAAGAACGAGGACTTGTCTTCAGGTCCTTTCTCCTTCTTATCAGGCATCACCTTCCCCTGCCAAAACCTTAGCTTTACAAGGTTTTATCCGTAACCCATGTGGGCTTCCCCAGCTTCCCCTGATTCCAAACCTTGTCCCCCTCAAATGCGGGTTGGACACTCCTGTGACCACCCCATCCAACGCTGTCTCGCTCCCGCTTTTGCCATGCACCGCACCACTTTCTCTCCCAGCCAGGGTTGTTGGTGGTGATAATCAAGGGGTGATAGATTTGAACAAGGCGGCTGATTCCCCTGAAGAGGTGGATTTCATGCCCCAGTTGGGTGCTTCTGGTGCCTCCACCACCAAATTTGCTGTTATTGCACCTCAGGCCATCAGGCCTGTCGCCTCCAGCATTAGTGTGGGACGCATCTCTGAAGATCCTTTGGCTCCAAATGCAGGTAAACAAATTGTTAAGAGGGCGGAAGAAGTGGAGAAAGAAGTGGAATCTGAGGTTTTGCCTGCGATCGTTTCGGACTCGAAGAATAGAGTCCGGCTGACAAATGCGGCCTATAATGAAATGGTGGGGCAACCGGAGTGTCCTTGGCTTGATTTCACGCCATCTGGCGGTGGCGGAGGAGGTGCATGCAGGAGGATTGGTGGGGAGGTGGTGCTTGATTTTGTGAATTCTGGCTTACCAAAGACGTTAAATGGTTTCACTTCTTGGGTGAGGATTGAGTGGGGGAAAGATGGCAAGAAAAAAGTGGCGAATGCTTTCGGTGAAGCTACAAGGTTGGCTTGTGAGTCTAAGGACTACCTGTTCGTGTGGAGGTTTCACCTACGAGTGGGCATCTGAATCCGGTTCAAGTGTTTGAGTTGCATTCTGTAAACAATCTAAATGTTTGAAGCTGATCATCAAACTAATCTAAACATATGTAGTGCTGTGAGGTAGTATCAGATAATATAGCATGTATAAAAATGCAAATATTGCCATACAAAATCAGCTTTGTCGACCTTTGAGATGGAAGGTCATCTTTGGGATGCTATACAAGTGTATAACATGTGAAGTCTACTAAAATGCTTGTTTTTCGAATTCTTTCCCCTTTTCCATTCTTTTTACCCTTCTCTTTCTTCAATTTCCCAGAGAATATTTTGGTCTTTTTTTTTTCTTATTTGGTTTTGATTCCTTTTTCCTTTTTGTCTATGTATGTATTTTTGGGCTTGGGAGTTGTTTTCGAGGAGATCAAGAATGTCCGCAAAAAAGTTTATTTAAGCACCGAAAAGCCTTTGCTAGATAATCAAGATTTGTTATTAATCTTTCTCTCTTAATGTGGCTAAAAGTCATAAGCTTGCGACTAGAGTTGTCAAAATCGGTGATTAGAAGTGTCAAAATGGGTGATTTGGATGATCCATTTGGGCGGTTTTGTATCGGTTAAAATGGGTAATGGATATAAATAAGTAATTCATTTATATCCATTTAATTAGATGAGTATAAATGGGTAAATCAAAAAATAAATTGAGTAATTCAGTTACTTATTTACAACCCATTTATTTTAATTTTTATAAATTCATTTAAATTCAATTTTGCAAACTAAGTTATCAATTTATATCATCCTTTGCACCCATCATTAGTTTTAAATATTTACTTATAATACTGAATAAGCCTAATTATCAACTTTTTTTCCATCTGTATTTTATGTCGTAAAATTACATACTATCTAATAATTGAATAATAAAAATATAAAAATTTGAACTAAGTACTATAAAAGTTAACATAAAAACTTAATCCAAAAATTTTGAACCCCTGACATATTTGTCGTGTGTATATTTAAATTTGCATTTTAAATAAGTAGGAAAAGAGGCTAAAGCTTATCATAAATTGATAATACTGAAAAAATGAGCAAGTTAACAAACTAAGAGAAAATAATGGATAAATTTAGTTAAATGGGTTTGTTTGCCACCTATATTTGCCACCTACATTGATGCATTTTGCAAATCAAAAGCACAATTTTCAAATACTAGAATTTTTTTTTTTTTTTTTTTTTGCCGGGCAAAGTATTATTCTCTTGAAATAAATCATCCAGTAGCATGAATTTCTGTGAATTCATCAAGTGCATACATATCCAACGTGATCACCTCGAACACGTTTGTACCAAAATTGATGACTTATTAACTGTTCAAGGAAGTTCAAAAAACAGAACAAAAACCTTTTAATGACTTCTTCGCTGGCAACAGAAGGCCAACAATGTGAATAAGCCGGCGAGACAGCCAAGGCGATAAAATCAGGTGAGAATGAAAATGAATCTCTAAATAATAGCCCGCGATTGGTTCAACGGGAATGTGTCGTTTGATTAACGGTATTTTCATAATTTTTGGCGAGGAAGTAGCACATTTATATGTACTTAGTTCGAAAATTTCAAATTAATACATTGTTTGACCAATACTTCAAACAATTTGGAGTTTATTATCAAAGTAACATTAGTTGAAAAAAATAATTGCCAAAGTAATGCTCTTTCCAAAAATTGTTCTCATAGTAACATTTGCACTAGAGCATTAGTTATAACTTTTTTTCTATCTTAAATATTATTTTGTGGCTCCTGCATTTTCTTATTTTTCATATTTCCAAGTTTTCAATAACTATTCAAGAGTAAATCTTATGTATACTGACAGTATGTATACGATCACCGTTGGATCCATAATATATGTACAAAAGTAGAATTTTGAATTTAAATTTTACATAGCTGTCATTCATTCAACAATGACAGTGTGTACGCTATCAGTGTGCAAAAAATTAATCCATTGTTCAATATGATAGACAATAATTTTAGAGGTAAAACATGTAAACCCTACAATATTGCTTATTAGTTGATGAATTGCAATAAAAAAGCCTAGCTGATTCTCAATTCTCAGCCATATACATCTACGAATTTCTTTTATGGATTTCGGTTTAGTTTCAAAGTAAAAGATCCGGAAATTTTCAGATCATGCACTTGATTTTTTTTTTCTTTCTAAGGTTAGGATGTTTTGGCTTTCTTAAACCTTGCAGCTATAATATGACCGAAATCTATATCTCTATTACCAACTTGAAGCCAAAGCTCTTTTTTCATGTGTTTCAAAAGAAGTTGCTTTTGCTATCTCTTCAGAAAATTTTGTAAGAATTCTTTCATGAAGATTCTACATATTGTTACTAGGCAGATGAATTTTCTTATATTTGTTCACTCCAATGAATTATAGAAATTATACGATATCTATTGCCTCAATTATGTGATTCTTATTTTTTTTTTTGTAGTTAAAAATTTTTTATGAGAATACTGGAAATTGAAAGATCAAGAGGGTGAACAAAAAGGAAAAATGCGCACATCATAAATCAAAGGGTGAGAAGAAGTAAAATTAATCACCTGTGTCATTTTCCTAAGTGAAAAATCCAGGCGTTATGTAGCATTAAATAGATAAAAATCCGTAGGGAGAAAGGTGAGGTGGTAAAATAGGAGTAATCGTAAATAGGACGTCATAGGTTTGAAATCTCCTGCTTAAAAAAAATTAAAAATTGTATAATATCTGCACGAACACTAGTTGGAAGATATTTTTTAAAGACGATGTTATTTTAGAAACAAAACAATTTGTCGTTTGGCAAATTATAAATTAATTTAACGAGTAGATAATTTTTGGTGTGTCCTTTTTGAAGCGGGGGTGACGAAGAACTATACAGCCTTTACAGTCAAGTCCAGTGCGGGTAGTGTGGCCCCAATTCGTCACTCTCTGTGGACGGTTTTGCTTAAAATTTTTGGGTTAATTACAATTAAACCCTTAAGGTATGCCATATTTTTTCACTTTATCCCCTAACCTTTAATTGTACTCACTTAACCCCCTATAAGACAAAATTACCCTTCCATTATTTTGACTTTTCATTTACCTTTTTTCCTCTCTTTTATTTCTTTGTCTCTTTCTTCTTTCTTTCATCATTCCCAATAAAAAACTCCATCTCAACGGAAATTTTTATTTTGAGTTTGTAATTGCATTTTTAGGTGAAGGTTTAAAAGGTATTAAAAACTAATTTTGATTTTTTGTATGATGCCACGTGTCACAAATTTCAATTGATGATTATTAATCAGGTCACAATTTCATCTTATAATATTTTCTTGAGAATAAAATGAGAAACAAGAAAGGAAAGAGAAAAAACTGAAATTAAAAAAATTGAAAGGCTAAAAAATTGTATTTTAGGAAAGTGATTTGAATATTTTTTAATCATTTAAGGAGAAGGTAGATCTCTACGATTCCTCTTTTTTAATTTCAATCATTAAGATGAAAATTTTTGTGGAAAAGAGGAAGAATTAAAGAAAGAAAAAAGAGACAAAGAAAATAAAAGAGCACAAAAGGGGAAAGAAAAAATAAAAGAGAAAAATAAGAGTTTGGAATAATAGAGGGATAATTTTGTCCAATGGGGGATAAAGTGAGACAAAAAAAAATGGTTAGGAGATAAAGTGAAAAATGAGATATACTTCAAGGGGATTAATTGTGATTAACCCAAAATTTTTGCATCAAAATCTTTTATTGAAGCTTTTATAGGATAGATCGAAAGTGGAGCAGGGAAAAATTTCTTTAGTAGTATCAATATCCAACTCCTTATTTGTCTGGTAACCTGGATAAACCAGTGAATTTACTTGAGTTGTGGAAGTAATTTTATCATATATCTTTCAATTATGTATTAATCTTTTCTACGCTAACAGTATACATATTATCAGCATTAGATGAATGACAACTATATACAATTTAATTATTGCACATATGCCATGAATCTAATGATAATGGTATATAAACTGTCAATGGATATAAAATTTACTCATCAATTATTGTGCTTACTTTTTTTTTTTTGTTTAGACAAGCGACACTTAACATCCAGATATTGATTTCGATCATTTGTCTTCTTAATTATGATAGATTAGCACTCTATTAAGCTCAGCTCTGGAGAGAAAAGCTGCAATCGGCAATGGACGCAAATTATAACAATTCTCGACAACTGTTTAATCTAAGCTAATCAGGATGTACGAGCAATTATTAAGTTTGTCCAATTGAAAGAACACTGATTGAAGTTCAAAGAACATGGCACTGAAGTTTGAAATTCAGTAGAGGCAATCCTTGGGTTGTGGTGCATTAATTAATGAACAAATGCTAAAATTCAAGCTTCAAAAGTGACTTCCGCTAATAATAATGCTATGTGGCTATGTGCTAAAGCCTAAACAGGAGGGGACTTTTTCTACCCACGGACGGCTTAGTGAGCGGTTGTCAACAATATGCATCTTCTAATCCTTTTTTCACAGGAAAAAGGGAAAGGGGAAAAAAAGAAAAGAAAAGAAAAGAAAAGAAAAGAAAATAGCACAACACTATAGTACTATATTTTAAGCAGAACTAAAAAAAAAATTTTTTTTTTTTTTTTAAAAAGAACGACTAAAATCACTAAGACAATAAGCCGCCAGCCGTCATAGGCCACTTCTTTCAACCCTCCTTAATTTCTTGCTTGCGTTTCCTAATTGGATCAGCGAAGGAGGGAGCGTCATGGCTGATAAATCTACGCCAATATTTGTTATTCTGCATTTCGAATATCAAATTTATAAACAATTCACTCACTAACCAAGAATATAAAATTACTGTAATCCATTACCAACATTGTGGTGCATCATTAATTGCTTGGTTATAAGATAAATTTGAACTTATAATTGACGGCTGAAATATTTAACCACAATCAATGTTTGGTTAATTAGATAATGTGATGATCTCATACATGATTAGAGACTGGACCATTTCAAAACCCTCTTCTCCAAGAATGCTACTGTGCTGAGTACAAGATTCAAGCCTGTG